CACCGTGCCTGGCCACTGTGCAGAAGCTTTTTAACTTGATGTGATACCACTTGCTCATTTTTGCTTTGGTTGCATATGCTTGTGGAGTATTGCTCAAGAAATCTTTGCCCAGACCAATGTCATGGAGATTTTCCCCAGTGTTTTCTTGTAGTAGCTTCATAGTTGAGGTCTTAGATTTAAGTCTTTAATCCATTTTGGATTGATTTTTGTATGTGGTGAGAGATAGGGGTCTATGGTTATCCAGTTTTCCCAGCACCATTCATTGAAGAAACTGTCTTTTCCCCAGTGCATGTTCTTGGCACCTTTGTTAAAAATGAGTTCACAGTAGCTGTGTGGATTTGCTTCTGAGTTATTGATTCTGTTTCATTGATCTATGTGTCTGTTTTTATGCCAATACCATGCTGTTTTGGTTACTGTAGCTCTGTAGTATAATTTCAAGTAAGGTATTGTGATTCCGCCAGTTTTGTTATTTTTGCTTGGGAGAGTGACATGGTTTGAATCTGTATCCGCACCCAAGTCTCAGGTTGAATTGTGATCTCCATTGTTGGAGGTGAAGGATGGCAAGAGGTGAGTGGATCATGGGGGCAGATTTCCCACTTGCTGTTCACATGATAGTGAATGAGTTCTCACAAAATATGGTTGTTTAAAAGTGTGTAGCAGTTCCCCCACTTTTTCCTGCTTTAGCCATATAAGACATGTTTGACTCCTCTTCACCTTCCACCATGACTGAAAGTTTCCTGAGCTCTCCCAAGAAGCCTCTATGTTTCCTGTATAGCCTGCAGAACCATGAACCAATTTAACTTCTTTACTTTATAAATTACCCAGTATTGGGTCTTTCTTTATAGCAGTGCAAGAATGAACTAATACAGATAGCTTTGGTTATTCTGGGTCTCTTATGGTTTAGTACAAATTTTAGAATAGTTTTTTTTCTATTTATGTGAAGAATGTCATTGGTATTTTGATAGGGATTGCATTAAATCTGCACATTGCTCTGGGTAGTATGGACATTTTAACAATGTTGATTCTTCCAATCCATGAACATGGAACATTTTTTCATTTTTTCGTATCTTCTTCTATTTCTTCATTAGTATTTTATAGTTTTTATTATAGAGATCTTTCACTTCTTTGGTTAAGTTAATTTCTAGATATTTAATTTTATTTGTGAGTATTGTCAATGAGATTACCTTTTAAATTTCTTTTCCAAATTGTTCACTGTTGGCATATATAAATGCTACTGATTTTCATATGTTGCTTTTGTATCCTGCAAATTTACTGAATTTATCAGTTCTAATAGTTTTTTTTTGTGTGTGTGTTATCTTTAGGCTTTTGAAAATATAAGATCATATCATCTGCAAACAGAATAATTTGAGTTCTTCCTTTCCAATTTGGATGCCCTTTATTTCTTTCTCCTGTCTGATTGCTCTAACTAGGACTTCCAGTACTGTGTTGAATAACAGTGGTGAAAGCAGGCAACCTTGTTGTGTTCCAGACCTTAGAGGAAAGGCGAAAGCCTTTTCCCTATTCAGAATGATACTAGCTGAGGGTCTATCATATATGGCTTTTATTATGTTGAGATATGTTCCTTCTATACACAATTTTTTGAGGGTTTTTATAATGAAGGGATGTTGAATTTCATCAAATGTTTTTTCAGCATCAATTGAAATGATCATATGGTTTTCATCCTTCATTCTGTTGATATGATGTATTACATTGATTGATTTGTGTATATTGAACCATCCTTGCATCCCTGGGATGAACTGCACTTGGTGATGATGAATAATCTTTCTAATGTATTGTTGAATTCAATTTGCTATTATTTTGTTGAGGATTTTTGCATCAATGTTCATCAGAGATATTGGCTTGTAATTTCCTTTTCTTGATGTTTTTTTTTCTGGTTTTGGAATGAAGGTAATACTGGTCTCATAGAATGGGTTTAGAAGTGTTCCTTCCTCCTCTATTTTTCAGAATAGTTTGAGTAGGATTGGTATTAGGTCTTCTTAAAATGTTTGGTAGAATTCAGCAGTGAAACCATCAGGTCCTGGGCTTTTCTTTCCTGGGAGACATTTTATTATGGCTTCTGCAAAGTTATCTTTGAAAGCTTACCTGCCTTATGTGTCTTGAACTGTCCTAGACCCAGACATGGAATTGGCTATTTTTCTAAGAAGCCCTGGTTTGTTTTTGTGGAATGATAGCATTATAAACCTCATTATGAGTAAAAGGCCTACACAGTGTGTCCCATCTGCAATTCTATCATTAGTAAACTATTTAGTAGATAGTTCTAGAATATATATTTTTTCTCTTAGTGTCATGAGTTTATATGAATATTTCTAATTCAGTTATATGATTGTGTTTTTACTTATTTTCTATAATTGTACTTCCATTTCTCTTATACTGAAAAATCTTGATTTTTAACAAAAGAAACATTATTGCTTATTTGTTTTACATAACAATAAAAATAAAATAGTTCTGAAAAAATAAAACCATTAGTACAAACAATGAGATGATAGGATGAAGTTCAAAGTTTTCTTTTTTTTTTTTTTTTTCCTTTTTGTTCTTAGAATGCATTCTACTATAGATATATAGTCAACTTATTTTGGTCTAAAGTCACTTACAAGTCTTCATTTCCGTGTTCTATAGAAATGAGTATCTAATATATGATTGTTTCTATTTCTTTTTTCTTTTTTTTTTTTTTTTGAGACGGAGTCTCACTCTGTCGCCCAGGCTGGAGTGCAGTGGCGCAATCTCTGCTCACTGCAAGCTCTGCCTCCTGGGTTCACACAATTCTTCTGCCTCAGCCTCCTGAGTAACTGGGACTACAGGCGCACGCCGCCCCACCCAGCTAATTTTTTATATTTTTAGTAGAGATGGAGTTTCACTGTGTCAGCCAGGATGGTCTCGATCTCCTGACCTTGTGATCCACTGCTTCGGCCTCCCAAAGTGCTGAGATTACAGGCGTGACCCACCGTGCCCAGCCCTCTCTTTCTTTTTAATTTGAGGTTGGTAATATTCTTACAAATGACTGTTCTCAGGTTTTAGAAACTTCTAGTTTTTCTTCAGAGGAGGGCTAAAGTCCCATGGGAGATAGGAGGGGGAAAAAAGTCAGCTACTGAATCTCCACAATTCTTTGTGTTTCATGTAAGCACCAGTTGATCCCTCATCAGTAACTAAATGAATGGCATAGGTAAGATTTATAGGCATGAGCTAGCAAAATAATTATGCCTTCTATTCAATAATCTTAAAATATATTAATATTATATTTAAGCTCCTGTGGAAAATATTTTTAAATCTATAAAACAAAGATTACCTCACATATAAAGACAAAGCCTGTTACCAGTTATACTTATTTAAATTTCAGTGTCAGTGTTTCCTGCTAGATTCAGATGCTTTCATTCAAATATAAGCAGTTGGCCAGTATGGTGGCTCATGCCTATAATCCTAACACTTTAGGAGGCTAAGTTAGGAAAGAGGATCTCTTGAGCCCATGAATTTCAGGCTGCAGTGAGCTATGATCAGGACACTGCACTTCAGCTTTGGTGATACAGCAAGACTCTGTCTCTTAAAAACAATAATAAAATAAATACATAAATAAATACAAGCAATTGCTTTATCTTCTGCCTTTTGCAATCTATCCTTACTCTGAGGACAGAGCTACTTCATGTTGACCTATTTCCAATTTCCAGCTATGGAGATCAAATATCTTGGATACTGAACCCCAGATGTTGATATTGAGTGGGCCCCCCCTAAGGTTTTTGGGGTGTTAGAGATAGTGCCTCGAGGACTCAATCTTATTATGAGGCAACCTGATTGATGGGATCCTGGCCTCTGCTGGCCTAGTGAATGGGGAGGCACATGAGGATTCAGAATAAGGAGCTTCTAGGGGATTTCATGGGCAGAAGAGGAGGGAAGCCTAATTGACTAGGGAATTTACACTCCTGTCAAAGGGGTAAGGTAGGGAGAGACACCAAAGGGTAAAATCTTGAGGTCATTTTCCGGAGAGGTTTTACAGGTAATTGAGGAGGCTTCTTACAATTTTTTTCTTAAAGTTCTTAATGAGGTCTTGAGTATTTGGTAGTAAGCTTCATCTCTATCTCACTCAACTACACACACAGGTAACACACACACATACACACACACACAATAAATTCATCTAGGCAAGAAGAGCATTTTCCATTATTTTCCTTAGATATTTCAAGGTCAGTCCAAAGAAAACTACAGTTTGAGGTCATCTGTGGCTTTGGTATTCCAACTCTAAAATAGTTCACAAATTGTTAGCCACAGTGCCTGCACTGGCTGCAGGGTGAATCCATTAGCCATGGAGACTGACACACCGCAAGGGGCTGGATTCATGCACTCCCTCTTCTCCTCTTGCTGTAAGTAAACAATGTACCAGTTGAGCTGATGTGCATGTTGTCTGTTCTTAGAGACCTCTAGTCATGCACTGGTTCTTCTCTGGATAGCATTTATCTGACTTTTAACCTTGGCCACATTCATGTTATTGTTTACCCTGCACACAGCCTGACCATCCAGTGGAGGGTGAAACAGATTTGGTACAGTAAGCAGGGTCTCTGAGAAGACACCTTGTCATGGCATAGTGGAAGTGAGACCCCTTCCAGGGTGGTGCTGGCTCCCGGAGATATTGGAGATGATGAAGCTCTCAATAAGGCCTAGATACACTTTGATCTGCTAACAGAGGTAAATGGGATAGTGAGAATAGTCCTGAGAACCTTGATGAATTAACTAGATGGATGTGAGCAAAAATTAAGGAGGTGGGAAAGCCCAAAACCAGACAATCTCCTGGTTACTGATTCTCTGCCTTTGTGCTGCCAGCCTGGGGCCACCTTGGCCTAAAACACGCCCCGACCAGTTACCCCCAGTCTTTACCTAGCAGTGCATTAATGACAGCATTTCCAATGCTGCCCTAGTTAAAATAAGAAGTTTCTCTGAGATTGAACTGGATAAAAAGAAACAGCAATATGACCAACAGCCCAGCAAATTCATACCTTCCTGGACTCTCCACTTGCTTGATTAGGGAGCAACCCAGACTTTCTTCTCCTGTAATGAGTGGAGAAGCCTGGACCAGATGGGGGAGGATGGGATTCATTGTTACAATGGATCTTTGCCCACATTGAACAGACCAACTCCTCAGGATTGCACAGATGACAAAACGGGTGACAAACCAATCTGCTTGAAACCTGGTGATCTTCCTAAATTGAAACAATTCTAGAAAGACTTTCAAGCAGCCACTGACTTGGTGAGAGCCCCGGGAGCCTCCCTATGGCTCTATCAATCCAGAGGGGGATTTAGACGATATACCACTACTTGACAGCAAATACACAACTTAATAAAATGAGGGTGTCCAACAGGTGGGCTCCATTAACCCTCTTAGTCTCTCTATGAATGACTATGGGCGACATCGTTGAAAAACTGCACCATAATGTGCCCATGTGGGGCCCTGCCAAAAACACAGCCACAGTGGTGAGTGGTGGCCACTCCCTCATCACACAGCAAATGGGGCTCCAAACCACCATCAGGAGCCCACCAAAAGATAAAAGGAGCCACAGAAAAGGAAGGCCCCAGGCTGCCCTGGACCCAAGGGAAGAGTCATGTGGCTATGGCTGCTTAAGCATGGTGCCTGCTTAAGCATAGTGGCTAAGGAAGAGACCGATGGGATCCCTACTGAACACCTGAGGGATCAGTATGAGCTGAGGGAGGAACCTGAAATCTTTTGTTTTTATTTTAAATTTTTATTTTATTTTTTTCTCTTTTTCTTTGTTTTTTTATATTTTTTATTTTAATTGTTGTGGACACATAGTAGGTGTACATATTTATGGGGTATGTGGGATGTTTTCATATAGGCATGCAATGCATAATAATCTCATCATGTAAGATGCGGTACCCATCCCCTCAAGCATTTATGGATCTTGAAATTTTTTTGTAAGGTTATCATGATACTCTTTTTTTCTTCTTCAACTTTTATTTTAAGTTCAGGAGTACATGTGCAGGATGTGCAGGTTTGTTACACAGGTAAACATGCGTCATGGTGGTTTGCTGCACAGATCAACCCATCACCTAGTTATTAAGGCCAGCATCTATTAGCTATTCTCCCTGATGCCCTCCCTTCCCCACCCCCTGACAGGCGCCAGTGTGTGTTGTTCCCTGCCATGTGTCCATGTGTTCACATTGTTCAGCACCCACTTATAAGTGAGAACAGGTGGTATTTGGTTTTCTGTTCCTGCATTAGTTTGCTGAGAACAATGGTTTCCAGCTCCATTCATGTCCCTGCAAAGGACATGATCTCATTCCTTTTTATGGCTGCATAGTATTCCATGATGTATATGCACCATATTTTCTTTATCCAGTTTATCACTGATGGGCATTTGGGTTGATTCTATGTCTTTGCTGTTGTGAATAGTGCTGCAATAAACATACATGTGCATATATCTTTATACTATTAATAGAATTATTTATATTCCTTTGGGTATATACCCAATAATGGGATTGGTATAATGGGTCAAATGGTATTTTTGCCTCTAACTCACCACAATTTCAAAATTGTTGAACGAATTTACACTCCCGTCAACAGTGTAAAAGCATTCCTTTTTCTCTGCAACCTTGCCAAATCTGTTGTTTCTTGACTTTTTAATAATCGCCATTCTGACTGGCATGAGATGGTATTTCATTGTGGTTTTGCTTTGCATTTCTCTAATGAATCCTGAGATTTTTTTTTTTTTTTTTTTTTTGACACGGAGTCTCGCTCTGCCGCCCAGGTTGGAGTGCAGTGGCGCGATCTTGGCTCACTGCAAGTTCCGCCTCCTGGGTTCACGCCATTCTCCTGCCTCAGCCTCCTGAGTAGCTGGGACTACAGGCACCCACCACCACGCCTGGCTAATTTTTTGTATTTTTAGTAGAGACGGGGGTTTCACCATGTTAGCCAGGATGGTCTCGATCTCCTGACCTTGTGATTCACCCACCTCGGTCTGAAGTGGGAGCTGAACAATGTGAACACATGGACACATGGCAGGGAACAACACACACTGGGGCCTCTCAGGGAGTGGTGAAGGGAGAGCATCAGGGAGAATAGCTAATGGATGCTTGGCTTAATACTAGTGATGGGGTTGATCTGTGCAGCAGATCCAAAGTGCTGGGATTACAGGCTTGAGCCACTGAGCCCCGCCTGAATCCTGAGATCTTAATGTTAAATGCTTGGTTCAAGCAATTGAACAGCAAGAGGAATGCTTGTTTGACTGGGTTGATTTTGCTGACTGGTTCTCTGCCCTGCATGTTCCCACCAACACTTGAAGGGTACAAAACAGCAGAGACATTGGTGGGTGCCAGAGAGAAACTACTTGAAAAGGAACCACTTCCACCATTATATCTTGAGCTAACATCTTTGGAGAAGACAGACTAAAGATGGGACCAAGATTTGGGGCCACCAATGGGAACTGAACTCCTAGTTTCAGAGGTAGGGGAAAAGGGTACTACACAAACTTTTATGAGTCTCTTGGACACTGGGGCTTAGGTCACTGTCATTCCCAGTTGTGGGCGAGAATGACAGGTGACCCTGGGAGATTCAGAAATAACACTGTCACAGGGAGTCGCCATGCACTTAATTGTTGATTCCTCTAGCACCTTTACTATGGCCAGAGATTGTAGTTCCCACTGCTAAATGTACAATACTTATATAAAGTTTGGCCTCCTGTACACAAGGCACCCATCGTGATTCTGAGGGTGTGCCCTACCAAATGGTTTCATTTGGATGAGCGTCATGGGATGCATCCTGTTTATATTTTGTTTTCCTGACCTTTTCTACGTCTTCCTCTAGTTCTCTGAGCATCTTTAAGACAGTTGTTTTTATATCTGGTAGATTCCCCAGCCATCAGGTCTTTTCAAGGAAGTTTCTGTTGATTTCTTTTTTTCCTTTGAATGGTCCATGCTTTACTGTTTCTTTGTATACTGATATGGTTTGGCTCTGTGTCTGCACCCAAAGTTCTTCTTGTAGCTCCCATAACTCCCACATGTTGTGAGAGGGATGCGGTGGGAGATGACTGAATCATGGGGGTGGGTCTTTCCTGTGCTGTTCTTGTGCTAGTGAATGGGTCTCACAAGATCTGTTGGTTTTAAAAATGGGAGTTTCCCTGCACAAGTTATTTTTTTGCCTGCTGCCATCCACGTAAGATGTGACTTGCTCCACGTTGCCTTCTGCCATGATTGTGAGGCCTCCCCAGTCATTTGGAACTGTAAGTCCAAGAAACCTCTTTCTTTTGTAAATTGCTCAATCTTGGGTATGTCTTTTTCAACAGCATGAAAATGGACGAATACATATACCTCGTGATTTTTTTTTGTTCAAAACTGAACATTTGGGTCTAGTAATGTGGTAACTTTAAAAATCAGATTCTCTCCCTTCCCAGGGCTTCCTGAGTCTTATTTTGGGGTTGGTTTTTGGGGGGTGGTTGTAGGCTATCTGTATGCTGAAGATTAGCCTGAGGTGCAAACATAAGGTCTTCTTAAGTGTTTTCTGAGTCTGTACCCCTTTCCCTGGGTTTATGTAGTGACTTAATTTCCATTGTGTTTGAGCTTGTTCCATATGTCCTAGTCTTTAATGTTTGGCCCCTCCAAAAAAGGAAAGAGAAAAATGAAAAAAAAAAAAAAAAAAAAGGAAAGAAAAAGCACTTGCCTTTTAAATTTCCCAGAAGTCACTAGATGGTGGGGGAAGTAGGGTTAGGTTGCAGGGGGCAACAATAGGAGAACATGCAACAGTGGTTTCATTTTTCTGCACTTCTATGTTTAGAAGCAGCAATTTTGAGCACAGATCTCCAATAATTAGAATACAGCATTCCTTTGTCCACACTGAGCAAAGCTCTGTGTAAGCTACTCCAGGATCATCTGCACAGCTGCCTGCCAAGCAGCTGAGGGATAAGGGATGGCTAGAGCTGACAATGACTGAAAGTAACTGCAATTTACAATGTGATATTGTTTGGCTCTGTGTCCCCAGCCAAACTGCATCCTGAATTATAATCCCTATTTGTGTCGAGGGAGGAAGCTGTAATTCCCATGTGTCAAGGGAGGGAGGTGATTGGATCATGGGAGTGGTTTTCCCCATGCTGTTCTCATGATAGTAAGTGAGTTCTCATAACATCTGTGGCAGTTTTTCCTGTGTGCTCTCTCTCCTGCTGCCTTGTGAAGAAAGTCGCTGTTTCCTCGCCCGCCATAATTGTAAGTTTCCTGAGGCCTCCCCAGCCATGTGGAACAGTGATTCAATTAAACCCCTTCCCTTTATACATTACCTAGTCTCGGATATTTCTTCATAGCAATGTGAAAACAGACTAATACAGTTAATTGGTACCAAGGTAGTGGGGTACTGCTACAAAAATATGAAAAATGTGGAGGTAACTTTGGAACTGGGTAATGGACAGAGGTTGGAACAATTTGGAGGGCTCAGAAGAAGACAGGAAGATATGGGAAAGTTTGGAACTTCCTAGAGACTTGTTGAATGGTTTTGACCAAAATGCTGATAATGATATGGATGGACAATTGTTGCGGAAAGTCAGAGACCCCAAACAGAGGGACTGGCTGGAGCTGTGGCACAGGAACATAACTTGTGAAGATTTCATTTCAATATGGACATTTATCAGTCCCCAAATGATACTTTTATAATTTCTTATGCGTGTCTTACTGTAATCTCTTAATCCTGTTATCTTCATAAGCTGAGGATGTATGTCACCTCAGGACCACTGTGATAATTGTGTTAACTGTACAAATTGATTGTAAAACATGTGCGTTTGAACAATATGAAATCAGTGAACCTTGAAAAAGAACAGAATAACAGTGATTTTAGGGAACAAGGGAAGACAACCATAAGGTCTGACAGCCTGCAGGGTCGGGCCAAAAGAGCCATATTTTAATTCTTGCAGAGAGCCTATAAATGGACATGCAAGTAGGGAAGATATCACTAAATTCTTCTCCTAGCAAGGAATATTAATATTAATACCCTGGGAAAGGAATGCATTCCTGGGGGGAGGTCTATAAATGGTTGCTCTGGGAATGTCTGTCTTATGTGGTTGAGATAAGCAT